CCTGGGAACACGTTCTCGTCCCGATTCTTCCGCTGTCGTTGAAAGATGTCGTTACTGCGCCGTCTCCGTTTCTAATCGGACTTCTGCTACCTTCGAACCACGCTGGTGGTGACTTTGTGCGAGACCTTTTCGCATCTCCGGAACTCAACTCTGAAGGAGTAAGTCCAGTACGAGTTTTGCAAAACGAAAAACTTATTCATACTGATGTTGTTGCATAAAAAAATATGAATGACCTGCAATATTGGAAGTATTTTTAGGCTTTTTTGGAGCATATATTCCGATATATAGCGCAAGTTTAAGCCCTGCATACTTATATGTATCCAGAATCAAGTCCAAGTCTACATTAAAAAACCTGCAATTAATGGTCAACCAGCACAGTTTAAATTTATGAAACGATTTAATGATGCCGTGAGAATTGCAGGCGCAACAATTTCAGGTTTTCTTTATTTATTTTGCTTTCACCCGAATACTGCGTAAGAATCTTTCTCTGTATGAGCAGGGTTCGTCCTATACAGTATTCGATTGCAAATTTTATTTGATGTCGTTTGAGGTTTGCAAGTACTGAAATGCATGAGTGCAATGTTAAAAATTGTTCGGCTCTGAAACTTTGATGAACCTCAGAATAGTTGTATGCAAAATTCTAAGCAGGTTTCAGGTTTTTAAAAAATACAGTCTATGTGTCTTATCTTTGAAGAAGTAAAACAATTCATAGAATTTTATTCAATTTTTTAATATGACATGACACACGGTAAAAAATTTACAAACTTCTACCTATATTTAAGTCATTTTATATTACTCGGCTTAAGTCCATGGAAGAAAATTTGATTTATTATTCCGATCAAGACTAAAAATCCTTTCCGTGAGAAAATTATATTCGCGTCGAGGAGGTTGAATTGCATGCATCTCCTGAGATTTACTTGCATATTTTCGGAAATTTTTCGCCAAAAAGTAATTTAATTTATTATTTCGAGCATTTTTTAAAGATTTTTCATAGATTCTCGAGCTTTTGAATAATTTTTCCTTGATATTTCAGCTGCTTGTCGTCGACGTGGATAAGAAACGCCTGGTGAAGAGCATTGGGGACGAGTCGACAATTTTGCCGAGGAAAGTTCGCAAGTGTCTGCAAACTGCTCTGTCCCTCGTGACCGAAATAACAGATCCTGGCGACCCAGCGAGATTACATGAGTAAAGTCTTTACAAGTACTGTTAAAAGCAGCTTGACACGCCCGTGATGTTCTTAGTGTAAAGGTAGCCTGGCCTACCTTTTGCGCAAAAGGTCCACTTTGAACTGAAGACTGTAGCAGGATAAACACGTATATATACAGTACATTTAAAAGCGATACGATTAAAATAAATTTTGTTTTTGCCGCACTGTATTTTGATTAAGAAAAAATCCAAGAAAAAGGGCACCCCTCTTTCAGACTTCCTTTGAAAAATATTTTCATTTCAATGTTTTTCTTTCGCCGTTTTTCAACATACAATTCCTGGTTTCAGGTTGAATATACCGAATTAATTGCATTGTGTACTAGCCCTTTTTCGAAAAAAAATGAAATCCATCGTCTTTATTTATTACTGTACATTATCGTAGGCTCGAAAATTTATATTTACAGGCTATTTTATAGGTTTAATAATCATGCGCGATACCACTCGATGAGAATTACTGCTGATTTTAATCGTGCATAATTATGTTTTATACTTCAATCGAAGCAACTTTTCTTCATTCTTTTTACACCGTCCATAAATATTGAAGCAGGCTGTCTATTTTATGAACAATGAACTCTGCAAGTGAGGATTTGCAAGTAAAGTATTACGGTATTTTTATTGATTTTGAAGTACTGTACACTACAATATATTATTTCAACTACACTCATTCAGGAATTTTCTTCCCTTTATGCTTCCGACTTATTTTGTTTTTCAATATGGCAATAGATTTATTGAATGACCTCTAAAGAGCTCTAAGTATAGCATGTGCTAGTGCTCATTGTTATTGATTTGTTCAGACGGCATGGAAATATTATTAATATAATGAATTTTTGAATCGTGTTTCAGGCGGACACGTTTCTGGCAGCTGTAAAAAATTCGAGCTCCCGTTTGTTTCTCGCGTGGTTCGTGGAAACTGCCATGTTCTCGATTTTCATTGACAATCGAGTTTTGTCTGCAGAGAGACACGACAACGGTAATGCTGATTAAATTTTTCATAATATCCCTGTGAAAATGTATTGAATCAGTTAATTTTCTTTCCTTCCCAGATTTGTTTGATTATCGAGCATTGGAGCACCAAAGTGACGGCAGCGGAAAAAACATCTTCAAAACCATGAAGCATTTTGGAAAAACAGTGAAAACACTGAGTGAGTGACCTTTTAACAATTACAGTCATCAACGCTAATATTTCAAGATGAATTCGACTTTTCTTTTTTTTAAAGGTGATAAATGGAAGGATTGGAAAGCAACGACAGCATCAACTGCAACTTCGACTTGAACAGCTCTTTTTTTTTTTTTGAGGATTCCACGATCCAAAGGCGGCAAAGATTTTCTACTCGCTAAGCTTTTCCAACGTGGATCATGGATTTTATTTTCGAGATCCTAATACTCGGGGCAATGCTTGTGTTTTTATGTGATAAGCTGAATTTTTCGTTTCGAGAAGCGTTCGAAAACGTCGCGAAAATACGTATCAGGCAGTTTTTTGAATCCATGATTTGAGCATGATATAGACTTAACCATCGCGAAGAAAGTCGAAGTCAACATTTACGCGTGCGTTTGATAATTTGAAAGAAAAAAAGCCTGAGAGGATTTAAGAAGATTTTTGTTGAAAGCGAAACGACGAAAGCAATTTGTGAGCTGCAAAAAGTCTCTCATCAGCGAAGGCAAAAGGTACCTTTTTTTTGCGCGAAATCTGGAGGAGAAAATATCAGTCTTCACGCATTGTCGCACGAGTGATTTTTCCAGCGAGCTCGGTAATTATTGAATGTGTTTTACTTTCTCGCCGTTTTCATTGAAGAAAACAAAAATAGTGGCAATGAAGATTTGAGGGAAAATGCTTACGAATCACGTTTTTCATTACTTTCTCGAAATAATTCGATCCAAATGAGCCCAAGAAAACACAACTAAACTTGGAAGTCCTCTGCTTACGGTCCTCGAAAGCTTGGGGCCGGGTTTCAAGGAGCCGACAGCCACGATAAACCCACAGGCCTTCTTCTTTAGGCACAGAAGGCCACAGGGCCTGCTCAATTATGAATGACAGCGGGATTTCCATTTCTCCCTTGGCCCAGTCGATGGAAATTCCAGCTGCCCTTCCCCCTGTGAGTGCATTTTCCTTCAATTATTTTCCTAAGTAACACCTTCAAAACTTAAAAATTGAATGGAAAGTTAAATTGCAAGTTTACAACTCAGTTTTTGAAAAGTGCATCGACAAACTATTGTCAAGTCTGATTTCTGATGCGCGCAATTTTCATTTCCCGAATCGATTTAGAGGCATAAGTGAAAGCAGATTTTATGAAATTAAGGGGTTTTTAATGTAATTTTTTTATGAATGCCCTACAAACGTTTTCGGCTTTTTAAATTTGCTGACATAGAGGATGGAACGAAAGAAAATCAGATTATGATTGCATCACATCATCCCTCTTATAAACCTCTTCCATCTTTCATGATTTCATACTATGGCTTGTCGCGTAAAAGAAAGTGAATCTCTCAAAAATACACTTGAAGTTTTCAAATTCGGATTGAAAGTCCTAAACCTGCTGTTTCTAGTTTAAAAAAAGGCCAATACTTAATTCTTGAAATTATTTTCGAATTGAGAAATGAAGAGATGTTAGATCAATCCTGAGGACAATAACACGTTGAAAACGCGTAGAAACAAAAATAAAATTGAGATATTTCATCAAAAAATTTTGTCGTGCAATGTGTACCTATATACCGTAAACGTGTAAATGCACGTGGAAATCAGATGAATTGTGAATCTCAATTTCGAAAATATATATTTACCCAGTGGGAAAACTTCGTATAGAAAGGGTACTTGACGAACGTACCGGACCCTGTACCGTAAACGCTGCAGTACGACACTTTTATAGGTACAACCTAAACTTTACTACTACTTAGTAAGCTATAAACTAAAAAGTTGGGATTGGGGCAATACGTTAATATCTGGGTTGCCAGGCAGATGTCGCCCGAATAACTGACAAGCCCAAAAATAATATCTATGCAATACAAAAGCAAAATTACCTCAACTCGAACAAAACTGTAGCTTTGTTTATACAGTACTATATATGCATACGAATGCCTTGTCATAACCAGCCACAATAAAGGTGAAAATAAATCAGGTGGTAAAATCATCTCAGACAACCTTTGTGAAGCAACGAAGATGTTTTCTGATTTTGTCACAGCAGGCATGATCTCGAAGAGAAACTGATGTGATTTCTAAAATCCTCGACAGCAATTTCAAGCAAAATCCGTACATGAGTGAAAGATTTGTCAATGGACTCCATGATAATTTGCAGTTAAATAATAACTTCGAGTATCATCCACGCATTTGAATAACCAGCAAATGCGTCATTAACTTCCTTGCACAATCATGAAGGAATTACGGTATTTTTCAACAGCTTATTTACCTCATATCAGCTTGCGGTTAACATTTGGACATTAAGATCCACAAGAAGCTTTAAAAAATTGTAAGAATTATTTTTTCATGATCTATATATTCTATAAATGTTAGCCAGAGAAGCTAGATGAGGGTAAACTTTTTAAAGAAACGAGTTTATGAAGGCATTTGTTAAATCTGTTGCATTCAAGATGGCGAGATTTCTTAAATTAGTGAAAATTAACATTTTTGCACTTTTTCTAATCAACAATGAAACAGCGTTTCTTTCTCTCTACACTTACGATNTCTTTCCCATGAACTGCTTGCATGGCCTGGGACATGGCATTTGCGACGTCATGCTGTGAAAATATCCATGTTGGATTTGAAATGATGATGAATCATTCGATATTTGATTTTTCAACCCTAACCCCGTGTACGTTAATATCTGGGTTGCCAGGCAGATGTCGCCCCAATAACTGACAAGCCCAGAAATAAAATCTATTCAGTATACAAAAGCAAAATTACCTCAACTCGAACAAAACTGTAGCTTTTTTTATACAGTATATATGCATACGAATGCCTTGTCATAACCAGCCACAATAAAGGTGAAAATAAATCAGGTGGTAAAATTATCTCAGACAACGTACCTCTGTGAATCTAAGAAGACGTTTTCTGATTTTGTCACAGCTGGCGTGATCTCGAAAAGAAACTGATGTGATTTCTAAAATCCTCGACAGAAATTTCAAGCAAAATCCGTACATAAGTGAAAGATTTTTCAATTGACTCGACGATAAATTGCAGTTGAATTAGAACTTCGAGTATCATCCACGCATTATTGAATAACCGAATGTAGCATTAACTTCCTTGCCCAATCACGAAGAAATTACGGTATTTTTCAATAGCTTATTTACCTCATATCAGCTTGTGGTTAACATTTGGACATTAAGATCCACAAGAAGCTTTAAAAAATTGTAAGAATTATTTTTTCATGATCTATATATTCTATAAATGTTAGCCAGAGAAGCTAGATGAGGGTAAACTTTTTAAAGAAACGAGTTTATGAAGGCATTTGTTAAATCTGTTGCATTCAAGATGGCGAGATTTCTTAAATTAGTGAAAATTAACATTTTTGCACTTTTTCTAATCAACAATGAAACAGCGTTTCTTTCTCTCTACACTTACGATGATGTAACTGACCCAGGAAAAAGTACATTGTGCATGCAAATATAATGTAAAAAGCGAACTCCCTCTACGACGATTTTGGTAGTAGCGATATTCTCTATCTGATAAAGTTTTTTTTGCCAATAGGGTTTCTCTACGACAAAATCCTCTCTACAACGAATTTTGTCTGGTTCCTTTGTATTTTCGTTGTATCCACCTCTATACACTGAAGATTTGTAGAATTAACTTGTGTAAGCAGAAATTCTATTTCCGTCGCTCTCAACCGTAGCCCTTCTTAGTTCTTAAGCACGTTTGAAAGCTTTATAAATATTCGATTCACCAGATGGGAGGAATCGTTGGGCAGGTCCTTTGTGTAACCCCACGGGTATATGATCTTCTGCGAGTATGAGTGCACTGACAAGAAGGCTCTCACAGATCCGTTTTCGTTTGCCTCGGAAAGAAAGTCACTCATGGCTTTGGTTTCTGGCTCAGAAAACATTGATGGACCGGCGTATCTTTGACTGCAAGGCACGTCCTCCGCCCCTTCGCCCTCTGTTCTGTCCAAATCACAACAAGTAAATATACAAGAATGATTGAATTTCACGAAATATTGTAGGCTTTAACAATTCTAGAGATGCCCTAATTTCACAAATATTTTCGTCCGAATTATTGTTTCAAGATCAAGAACACATTCCTGAGGATTTCCGAGTCTTTTCCTCTCTTCCTCTGCAATAAAACTTTGGTAATCAAGGCTCTCGCTCGATTGGGATAATTGAGTGCTGCTGGAAATAAATTTTTTAAATTTAAACCTTCAGCATGAATAATATTGCAATAATTGTAGATCACCCGTAAATTTTTTTCAGCTAGTTAAAAATTAAGAGGCCCAGGGGTTAGCGTTACCTAGTCTGAATTACAAGGTTTCTCTTAAATCTTAAAGGATCAAGATAATCTGTTGGCTCTATATGATTTCTCATCAAAGATTCTCTGTACATTAATTTTTTCATTCAACTAAACCTCATACAGAAACAAGCTGAAGACCTCGTGCTTTAAATTAATTTTTACATATATTTTGTTACCAATGTCAGGGAATGAATGGGTGTATGCATACATGTACCTATTGGCAAAAAAAACTTTATCAGATAGAGAATATCGCTACTACCAAAATCGTCGTAGAGGGAGTTCGCTTTTTACATTATATTTGCATGCACAATGTCAGGGAATGAATGGGTGTATGCATACATGTCAGTTGTCCAGTTGTATTTCATGTTGTGTTGTATTTTTTATTTTAGTTTTATCAATTTGTGCTTTCCTGCTCTGAAGTGATTAAAATGACATTGAGTGGATTTGGGTTGGGTGGGAAGGGGGTTTGGTTGTGGAAATCTTGATTGAACCTTGTGAACGCTGAAAAGCGGCAAATAAAGCATTCTGTTCATTCATTCATTCATTCAAGGTTTCTGATATTCGTACGCTTCAATAAAAAATGTAGACATGGTGACACGAATGTTCCTTTATTCAAAATACTGTATTTTCAGTTTTCTATCTTTGCAGTGATATCCTCATCTATTTTTTGAGTATTTTTTAAACTGGAACAATTTTTCAATGTGGGCTGCGCAAAAAATCAGACAACCCTCGGATTTGGGTAACGATTGTATGCTGCGATATTTGAATCGAAATTTCCAAATGTAGTCCCAAATTTACTCCGGCCTTCGCAACTAATGACTTTCTGGGAAACACTTGTCATTCTTATTTTGATAGAGAAGATGATCGAAGAGCCCGAGGATTTTTCTTTCTTCGGAAAAAAAAAATTGAATAGCTTTAAGAATGTTCTCTATCTGTCTCATCAACCGACCTCTCCACTTGAAACCGAAATTACGATTTGGATCAACTCCGACGCAGTCAGCGAAAAAGCTTCGGAATGATCTTGTCTTGCGCCACAAGCGATTCTGGGGACAAACAAAATTTTTTGATCACCATCATCCAGATTGTGCAAGCATTTCAGCAATCATCATTTCTCAATTTTAGAAGCGTTTGTAAGATGCGAGGTAATATTTGCTTCCCCTGAGAGTAAATGATCACGTGCGACGACGTGTCTGATGTGAAAATCGCGTACTTCCGCTTGCAATTTGTTAACTTTTTCCATTTCATTATAAAATAAAATAATGGCGCAATTGTATGCGTACGTTCTAAAATTCTTCAATTTCACGCATGTATATTCTATAATTGGATAAATCTGCACATTTAATCGTTATTACGTTTTTCTATTTTTCGTCCTCTGCACGATTGACTTTTAATCAACGATTCTTCTTGCTAATGAAATTCATGCTCAGTCAACAGCCTAAAAGATTAAATTCCGGCAATTTATTATCTCGACTCGTTTTTCTTCAAGTAATCTATCCTGCTGAAAAAAAAACTATCCTGCTAGTTTCATCCCTGAGGCTTCACATTTTTTACTGAATGGTGAGGTGTGTCTTCCATCATGCTGATGATGATGAACAAACTTTATTTTCCGCATTTCAGCAATCAGGAAGTCCAAACAATGTTCCCACATGTAACCCTCTCCCTTCCCCATCCACAATCATCAAAATATATTCTACCACATCAGAATAAAAAAAAAAAGGAATAAGCCTTTTTTGGGTATTGAGGAAAAGAAAAATGCATCAAAGAATGTACGAATGCACAACTGATGTAAATACGCACACTTTTTTCCCCTCATAAGATCATGAAAAGAAAATATCAAGAAAAACAATAACATCATTATGCAATAAATGAACACAAATTAAATCACAAGGTGATCAGCCTGTTCCCAGACAATTTTAGTCAATTAAAAAAAATTCGAGAGTATCTTTATGGAGAAATTGTACAAGGCTAAGAGTTTATCTTGATCCTCTAAAATTTTGGAACATTTTTAGAGCTGTCTTTTTTTGCGTGTCTTCCTTTGCACTTGATTCCAGCCAGGAAATAATTGAACTGGTGTGAAAAGCAAGTTTAATTATTCTTACCTTGGTCCACGAATGTAGATAACCGTCGGGATTTGCCACAGGAAGGATGTACCAGTCAACTTTGTCCACAAGCCGGTAATTCGCCGCATAATTATCCAACATTTCGCTGACCATGTACGTCAAGGAAGCCGGACCAATCCACTCTCTGGCATGAATTCCTACGATAAACAATTCAAAATTTCTGGAACTTTCCATCGGTAAATAAGGCAAAGAAGATTTTGAGAAACATGAAAAATGTATTCATGCAGATGTCCTAATTATTTTCCTTTTGGACGTACGTCTCGTGGCGAAGTTCTATTGGCGTTTTAAAATTCAAAATTGCAGACATTTTGAATTGCAAAAACTGCCTTGCAAATGATGAAAAAGTATAGTTTCATTCAAAATGTTCTTGTAGACTTCACTACCAACTCGCAATGTTACCAAAATTGATTCTGAACTTATTCATCCGTTTCCTTAGGTATATGTGGCTCATTATATTTTTCCACTAAAAGAGAGAATTGCAAGTTTGACAAAAGTGGCACAGTATGATCAGAAATTCTCTATAGAATAAATAAGCAGCAGTGTCACTTTATGTTGATCTGACAATTTCCAAGTTGAAACAGCACCAAAAATTGCCAAAGATATATAATTCAAAAGAAATGGATGTATAGATTTCACTCGATATCTCTCAACTTCATTGAAGGGGTTTCCATCAATTCAGGCTTGTTTTTTTTCGTATTTTTCACTCATACCAGTAACTAAGGAATCCCCGAGATTTTTTTAGGTTTCCTAATTTGAAACATGATCTTCTTTTAAAAAGAAAACTGGAGGTATAGTGGAATCCGGTGCCGCTTACTTCAGAAAAGACTCCGAAATTAAATTTTAAAAATAATTTTTAATTCGGAATGAAGTCCAAGGTTCAAGTCACAAAATCGTGTTCACGCGAAACAATTAACAACTTTTATAAAAATGCATTCGTTGACGCAATTTCTGAAAGCTTCCTTTTACGGCTGTTCTGTGCTGTACCATATTGTAATTCAAACCTGCATCAATCCAAACGAATCTGTTGTATGGGTTGCTCCCAGTATGAATCCAAAGAATTTTCATCGCCTTGCCCTCATAACTCGTTCCGATTCTCGTAAGAGTGACTTGGCTCGGGTACGTCTCTGAAATGTGCCGCATCCAAGCATTGATCTGAAAAATATTCCCCATGACGAACACGAAACTCAGGTACTGTATAATGGTACCAATGGGATTGACGCATGACAAAAAGGAATCCTGGATCTATACCCCTGCATTTCGGAGTTTTTTCAAAAATCCTCACACAATCATTGTTCGGGTACTGCGACCAGTCCATGTCAGCCCCTTGACAGTTACCATAACCTGGTGTTCTGGTCTCGTGGTCCAGCTGCAAACGCCTATTTATAGCAAAACAATGAATGTGTTTATAAGGCGACAGCTATAAAGAGACATCCGAGGTTTTTTCGCCCTTTCAACCAAAAGAAAAAATATCGATTATAGAATCAACATTAGACTGATGTAAAACGACATACTGCACAACGCCCCTAATAAGTGTCAGTAGTGTGACATCTGTTGCAAAAATAAATGGTAGAGTATAATTTGTTACACTGAACAATGAACTCACAAATCCGATTTCTCAGAAAAACTTGTCCTTGTACATCTTTGATTGAACCAGGAAAAACTCTGGTTCACACACCCTTTTTCTCTCAAAACCTTCAAGGTTATTTTATGGCCAAGTTTTTGGCAAATCCAAAAAACTGTTATTCATACTTGAATAGTTTTCCTATTTTCCTACTTCATCTAAAAAAAAAACTCACTCTTCTCTGAGCTCTGGTACGCAACACTCCAGCATTTTTTCAAATATTCTGCGTGTTGACTGTGTTCTCAAATTACAAAAACCTTAAAATAGGGTGAAATTTCACCCCAGTTGTAGCCCAACCAAATTCTTCGTACCATTTATTTCTAAAACCATATTCTATTTAAACTTTACTAAATCATTCTTAACAACATCTGATAACGAGGAATAATGCCTGGCATCAAAAAATTGACAAATTGAAATTAATAAAGCACAGAATCGGACGATGAAGGGGGGCGGGGGGGGGGGGGGCTTCAATATACAGTACAGAACATTTCCCAAGAAAATAATCAGCCCATCGTTTCAAGCGTCTGTGCTCCGTGTCAAGATACAATCATTTTCAATTCTGGAGATTAATCGCACTTTTGATGCACTAATATAGACGAAATTAATATTTCTGTCACTGAAGGAATGAAAATAATTAGCCAAACTTACTTCTATTGTATCGGTCTAATGAGGGGCTGCGCCATGAAATGAATGAGAGTTTGCATTTTTCAAAACATCATATTGGAATTGTTCATTTTTAGTTCTGTCAGTCGCAAGGCTGAGAAAATTGTCCAACATATAATGCCTGACCTATATACTCAAAAGATAAACACTTGCCTTAACACATACAATTTAGGCTTCATACGCAAACCTATAAACAAATTTGCGAATGGTGTACCAAAGACACTTACTTACTGAATGTGAACCAATATTTCCGGTACGCGTACAGTAAAATTTATCCGAGAGTTACATCAATGATAGAGCAACCTAAAAAGAATGTTGAGTTACTCATTAACAAAAAGTCCTATTCAAGTCCGATAACCGACAAAAACGAGATCTTACTCATCAAAACTTTCGAACACCAATTCGTGCTTCAGTAATTTGTCATCCAGCCAATCAAGAAACCAGGAAAAGTTGGATGGCTTGACGAAAACGTCGACAGGACGGAAACGAACTGGAGTTGTCCACAAATCAATCCATCCTAAAGCTTCGTAGCGTGTCAAAATATTCACAGCCTCGTTTGTTTTCGGTACCAGTCGCAACAGTTTGAACCTGAAAATGCATATTAGATTATATATTTTCAAAAAGCATGCATTTTCAAGGAAACCTCTGCCATGCTAAACTTATGTGAATTTGATGAAATTTGTAAATGGCTCAGAAGAATCCCGAACTAAAATGCAGATTTCTCATGCAACTCACCCAACATAATTATCTTCCCTTCCGATAAAACCTGCCGACGACCATAAGAATCTGAAAATGAGACACGGGAAAATTCTGAAAATGATGACATTTGTGAAGGTCATTTCTGCGAAAAAAAAAATTTGACGAGATTAAAGCGTCGTCTTCTCGTTGACTTGTCTCGACAAATGCCTTTCCTTTATTGCATATGAAAGGAAATAATCACCCCATGGCAAATAAATATGCTTATGATATTCCGATAAGTCTTTCGTACTGGAAAAATTCAATCATTGAGACGCAACTAAAGAATAAAACGGAGTAATTGAATAAAAAACAAAAATAAGATCCGCCAGCTCCGGAATTTTGGAAGAAATTGAAAAAGAATCGGTAAAAGAGGCTGCAGATTTCTGTCATCAGGCACCGGTCCGAACCTTATTTGAAAACCGTGCCTTCATATTTAAACCAGGGCCGATTCAGGAAACGGAAGTTATATGTTTCATTTCCGGATGGGCTAAGTACACAAACAAATTTTGAATTATGTCCCACTATTTGCCTCCCACGTCTTTTGTTTTCGGTGGGCGCTTCGGGCCTCATCTTTCGTAATGGGGTTGCATGTCACGTTGGTAAGCGTTGAGATTCCGTAGACCGTATTCCAGGTCCTTCAGGTCTCCATCCTGCGGAAAATATCAAAATAAAATGTAAATGTTATAGTGGAAATTGCAGAGTCATTTTCCACCCCGCTTCGATTCAAATCTTTCAAGTCATCCAGTGAAAGTGAAGACTATCTGGAAAAAACGCAACAGGTGAAGGAAATCTGTGAAAATGCCGTCTCATTTCAGGAGTTTCGATCTGGAAAGAACAAGGACAATTGTCTCTATTCAATTTCTGATTCGGAGCAAAATAACCTATCGAAAAACTGAAAATATCCGAACGCAAGTGACACCATAAAACGGTTCAAATAAACCATATGAACTTTGCGGGTTATAATTACCAGATGGGCGAGGAATTCTAGCCCAGATTCGAAAATTTAAACGAAAAAAAAAACGTTCAATAGAAAATGTACATTTGCTGTTCCAGAATGAATAACATTTAGTCGTGTAAATTTAAAAGACACCTTAGAAAAAATTTGTGAAAAATATACGAACTGAAATTCTTAATCGTCTCAAAAGCCAAAGATATTTTTTAAAAGGGTGAATAAGTTGGGCTCGATGAAATATTTAGAATGATCCCAATATGGCATGAATAGAATTTAACGTTCATATATTGAGAAACAATTTAACGCTGATAGATCATCACAAAAATTTGTATTCGAAGGTCTAGAATAAAATTCTTTCCCATTTATAAGAAAGCCAAAAGTCAAGACAGAGTTTGTTTGGGGTAGTTTATCCATATTTCAGGCGATACACGACACATTTTACAATTAAATCTGTGCGAATTCTCGCTAAAGATTCTTTGTAGAATTATTGTTTCAATTTCCATCTTGAACCGCACAGACGCAACTTGATGAAATATATTCTGTACTTTAAAACCATGCCTAAGTCATTTCAAGTAACGTTTAACGAACCGTACTACATTTAATTTTAATAATTAAAAATCAATGAATAGCCTATACTTAAGGTACACGGATTCACGTTTTTTTTTTAGTCTAGATTAAATCAGCTTAACTTAATGTAATTTAATTGAGGAACAACGTTTCAGATCATCACATCGGGTGAAAAAGGAATTTGAATCATTCACCAGAGCAGCCACACCCAAATGATTTTGTTTCCTCTTATGCTGCGCGCTTCTGTCAATTTCAGGTCTTTTAGAAATGCCGAAGTCAACAATGGCACTGTTGTTTTTCGACTCCAGTCCAGTGAATTCAGACTGCTTCACTTCGCGGCGAATCAATCGCATGAAGTTACCGAACGTCGACTTCTTGTTTGAAACAGCAGTCTTTTCCTGCTGATCAGTCTCTGGGTCGTGATGTTGGTTGAGCAAGTGTGTTGCTCGGTTCCCACCATCATCATCGGCAGTAGCAGCAGCCAATTTTCGTTTATGCTGTTTCCTAAGCTTCTTGTTGTGCTTTTCAATCAATCTCTGAATTTCTTTCTCGGAAACGGTGATAGCAACCGCGGCAACGGTCTGATTGTTGCGGTGTTTGCTGCTGAGCTTGTCGATCGGATGATGCTTTGAAACTTTGGTGACGTCGACACGACAGGGTTTTGGTTTGGGCGGCGGACAGCATGGCTTTGGTGGTGGCGGTGGGGGCGGACAACTTGGTTTTGGGGGCGGCGGACAACTTGGTTCTGGGGGCGGCGGACAACTTGGTTTTGGGGGCGGCGGTGGTGGACATGTGCATTTCTTCGGTGGCGGCGGAGGAGGTGGACAAGGAGGTCCTGTTTCAGGTTTGAGGGTGTGAGGTGGTTCTTCGCACTTGTCTTTCTTCTTCTCTAGACGCTGTTCACAGGCGGCATCCATGGCCAGGTCTTTGACGATGCTTGCCATTTCTTTGGTGGTCATTTTTCCACTGAATCTGCGGCCAAGAGGAAAAGACATACAGCACTGGAGTGAATATTTTTATTATCGTAATTTTAATTAAAATGTAGAGTATTTCAAGGGTGGTTTGACGATAGGTTCATCGAGTAGCCTAACAAGAGGGATATACAAACTTCGCTTTCAAATTTTCGACTGGACGAATGATCCAGATTTTTTTATCTGATAGCTATCGGATTTTTCACTACATACTTAGTTGAATATTTTTGCCTTGAGTATTGTTCTTCCTTCATCCCAGCAGTTCCATTTTATGCTTAAAATTTTGACGAAAATTGATAAATTTATGGGCCTCTAAAGAGAAATGAACTGCTGTACATGAATTTCATGAAGAGGACCTTTATTCAGTTTATTGCATCAGAACAGCCCTCGTATATAACGTACCTTTGTGATTAAAGCTAGATGTCATTCCTTCATCCAATAAAAAACGCTGAAAATTCAGTACAGTACAGTGAAAGTGAAGACATCGTTTATACATGACTTCATTGGGTTTAGAAATTCAAGTCATATAATCGCCGAGATGATTTTATTTGCGGTTAACAGATTAAAAAAAAGCCAATTCATGAGAATTTCTAGTTGCACGGGTGAGAATTAAAAAAGCATTGGGTCGTCCCTGGATAACATAAAATAATTAATTTTAGAATGTGTTTCATTTCGCAAAAGTTGTTGAATACCTCATATGGTATCGCTCTCATTCCGAATTAAAAAAGTAATGTCCGTTCTCACACACATGATGCTTTCTTGACGAACATTACTGTGCGATTATTATATTGATTCGAATGAAATTTAACTGATCCTGGCAGTTTAAAGCTTTTTGCAATATGAAATTCTTAATTTCTGAGTCTAGAACAAAAGAAAAAGTTGCAGTACCCATGTATACAGTATATTTTTTTTTACAATGTTTGCCGCGATTCGAAAAACATTTCATAAGTTTCAACTCAAAACACTGAAGAGACTACCTCTGTACAGGAACTCCTTTGTGATTTACGAGAAACTTCTCGAAGTTCCCGCTGATATCCGTGCGAAGAATCGGCTTCCACCTTATTTCTTTACAGCTTCCGGCTATCCATAAAGGGCAGTCTTGTGGCACCGGAAGTTTCTTCTTCAAGTACTGGATAGAAACATTATATTGTACTTCATTATTCCCACGAGGAAAAAACTGTGGGACAAGAAATAAGGCGCATCTCGAAGATGCATTTATTTTATTAATGTATCATTTATAGTACAGTATCTTTTTTATTTTAATGCGTAGTGGCTGGTCGAGAATATACAGACCTTGAAAATGCTGCTTTCTTCTTCTCCGTTCACATCAGCTTTCTGGAACATTTCGAACTTGGGTTGAAAGTCGCATCCAGGTCGAACGCACTTCAGCATGTTAAGAATTTCTTCATTATCCCCAGGTTCCTTCGTTGGATACCGTGATAAAAGAGGTGATACTGTACAACATATACTCGAATATATATTTTTTTTTCAAAAAATCCAAATATTAACAATACTGTAAATCAGAGCTCTATTGTATGTCATGATGCCTCCAACTTGATGGCATATTTCATTCGAGTGCGCAAATTCATTTCTTGATCGAGCTAAAAGAAATTTAAAATCTTGGATGAAGCATTATTAGTTTTAATTTATTTATACGAGAGTCATGATGCTGAACAGAAAGCAATATCAAAATTATAAATGCAGAAAAATATTGCATCTCTGATCAAGAACCTGACATCTTTCAAGTAATCCTTGAATTTTTTGCGTTTGAATAGTGGATTTTTCAAGTAATCAAAGAATTGTGTGTGCCCAAATCTGCGTGTCCGCATATACGTACAGTAATTTGCCGGAGAAACAGTAAAAACAGTACAGTAAATTTCATTTTTGATTAAGAGAATTCGATAGGACGGGCAGAATTGAGCATTCTTTTCTCAATTTCGCATATTTCGTGAAGAACCATAAATAAACCTCATGTAATTTTGCAGTGCATTCTTATCACGAAAACCAAACTAAAAAAGTCTGAATAATTTTAGCCAAGCCATTACAGATTTTTATGATAGCTGAATTCTGCTAACATAAAAATATATCTTCGCAATCCTGTAACGTCGATGGAAAGCTTGAAAAATCCTTACATAAAAATAAAATATGTTTAAGAACGAAAAACATTGTCTGGAAAAAAATCAGTCAAATCTCTTGAAAGCACGTGGCCAACTTGCTCTCACGACAGTTGACAATCAATTGTTCCAAGCGTTATTGTCAGACATAATTCACTGGAAAGCGTAAAACTGAAATTAGAAGATAATTCAGTAAACTGCTGGCATTTGAAACTTTCTTACCAACTTGCTCTCACGACAGTTGACAATCAATTGTTCCAAGCGTTATTGTCAGACATAATTCACTGGAAAGCGTAAAACTGAAATTAGAAGATAATTCAGTAAACTGCTGGCATTTGAAACTTTCTTGGAACAAATAACTCAAGCCGTTCGAAGTCGGTCCATTGTTTTTGCATCTTCTTTATTATCCACTCATCCGCCATATATCTCTGACATTTATCTGACTTAATTTCGCCCGCAGATGAAAATCTATTGTTCTGTGCAGTATCTCAGCCTTACTTCCGTTCAACAAGACCACCATCAAGTGATCTCCATCTCTGACAATTCTCAATTTTATGATTCATTGTTTCATATATAGGTATGGCATTAGAATGGAAAGATGAAGATTCAGGGGAACAATTTTTCTCACGTCGCCGAAGGTGTTGCTGGGGAAAGCGAGCAGAGAGAAGTTCTCACAGCCGAGTTCCTCTACCAAACAGTTCATTTCCGTGAACTCCTTCCGAGCATTGTCCGACATGGTGGCAACATTCGTTATCAGCACGACCTTTCCTCGATACTCGGTGAAACTCCGTTTGCAGTTGTCTAAATGAGCACGATTTCGATGTCAAAAAAAATATATATAATTCATTTTCCACGCAGGAAATGTCCAGCATTAGATTGGTCTTGCATTTTCGTCGCTCGTTCACTCTTTAGCGTAAAATACTACTTTATCCCAGGTTGATGGAAAAATAATCGAACAAATACTGTGAAATCTTCATTGTGGTGGCACAGAATATAAAGAAGAAACTGGTTAGGATTGAATTCGCATACCTCGTAAATTCACAGAAGCGAGCGCATCAAACGGTGAAGTTCCGTTGAATACGAATGTAACTTGACGTGATTAAATAAAAAAACTAATTTTAGTTCAACTTCTTGATGACAGGTCAAATTTTTGCTGTTGGGCAAGGGACAGCAATTCTTAAAAAACCGAAAACAAGCTTTCCTGCCGTGGACAGTGGAAAACGTTATGCACACGCAGGTGTTTTACAGAATAGCTCCCAAATATTTAAGGAATCTTCTTAGCGACTAAGCTCTCAAACAGGAATTTCACTGCAAAAAAAGTTGCTTAGATTTGGACAGGCTTTGTCATAGAATTAATAAATATTGAGGCAGACCAAATACGCAAAATATTCCAGAAAGCACTTCAGAGAGATTTTATCGAAGAACATCTTTAAAGGAAATTGAAATTCTTGATCATGACTGATCTCTAAATATTTTCGCGAATTTCCACTAAAAAACTTGTGTACAGTACACTGATAAATTCATTTCTGGGTAATGAAAATAAATTCGGACAAACCTTAGCGAATGTTTGAAATAAAAAATTATTCAATTTCTTCACGTCTATCCTGTTTATTTCGTTTGAATCCGCTTTCATTATCTTGTATGGCATTATTAGGTATCAAATTAATCCTCGATTATAACAATCATTTTTACGCGTTCATCCCTGAAACAAGTGAAAAAGGGAGCGGGATCTTTAAAAGATGACCGAATTATATTCCATCATTTTAGTAGCAAAACCAAAAAGGAATGCATTCAAAAATTTTCACTCCTTTCTATCATGAAGAGCAAACTGTATAGTATAGAGAATGTTTCTCACCAACAAGACTCTCAGCTTCCAAGTCGCAGAAGCTCTTGGGACATTTCGGAAAGCAGCAGACCTTGCTCAACTTAGAATTCAACAACGGGACCTGATTCCCCGACGGCACGAAGCCATCGGCGTCTCGCTGAACGAGTCCCTCAGTTTTCGACGACGACGATGATGACGAAGACGAAGATGACGACGACGATGATGAAGAACTCAAGGCCCGTTCATCAGGGTTAACTTTGTCCTGCTTGTCCGCGTCCAGCGCATTCTCTTGATACCTGCTGCTGCCAGATTGCTCTTTCGATGAAGGTCGAATTTCCTGCTTGAACGCGGCCACGACTTCGTCATCGTTCATGTCGATGACGGACGACATTTCCGGGCTGACGAGCAGCGTGAGGCCCTCAGACGGGATCTCGTCATTGAGTCGACGGCGCTTATTCCAGAGCTGACGGGATCGGCATGCCGTTTCCGGGCTGTCACGAGCCTTGTAGAAGCATGTCGAGGATTCCCTTGGAGAGAATACGGGACTTGATGGTCGGGTACCGTTGATGTGGTCATTCAACAGTCTGCGAGGCGCCCTTCGCAGTTTCAAGCCTGGCGACATGTTTCTGCAGTGCAAAAGTTTGGGAATGCATTTACTGTCAAGTCGGTAGAAAGGCTGTAAGCGTGTATGAAATCTTGAAGCGCAAGTTTACCTCGCAAGAACCAGCATGTACAATTCATTCCCCCGCGAGTCGAAATATCAAATAGCAAAAAAAAAATTCACTATTTTACTGTACAGTATAATTGCTGGAATTATACATGCGTTGTAATGAAGATTTCAGTCACTTGAGCAAAACCTATAGCCCCAAAAACCAACTTAACGACCACTTAATGAACATATTTATGACGATGGGCAATGTGAATCAGAAAAACTCATGCAAGTCTTCGCATTTCAGTTACACATATAATACTAACCTGCGCAAGGACTGAAGTAAATGAAGAATTTGGAAGATTAATCCATAACAAATACAATTTAATTTTCACTTGCCGCCGTTAAGCTTGTCCCCATGACGGACGCTTTTCGTTGGTGACTTTCGAAGTTCTCGCTCAGCCGAAATAATCGTTGAAATATTCCCACAATCTGACATTTACAGTAATTCGGTTTCTCGTGCAGACATCTATTTTTCATTTTATTAATGGGAGACAGGTTCTTGTCTGACGAAAATAAGAAATTCCCGCAAGTTTAAGGCTGAACATCTAACGCTTCTCGAACGAAAGCGCTTAGAATGTTCCGCTGAACGCGATATAGATGTCACTAGCTTGAGAAGTTTATATAGAAGCTGCGTCATCCAGGGTGCCATCTTCAAGATTCTTGAACGCGCTTGCGTTGTGTTATTCTTCACTGCGCCACGCTATTCCGGACGCTGCTACGTTGGTGTTCGCCGGGTGCGTTAAATTTCCGAAGAGAGGCGCTTACGCTCATTTGATCTCTGTCTGGCTGGGTCGGCGGCGCGATATGTCGCTTCACGTCTAGTTCCCAGCAGCAGGAGTTGACAACGCGTCTTCAGCCTCAATCCGGATTGAGTCCTCAATCCGACGCGATTAACGAAATGAAATTGATTTGTATTTGATCTTCCACTTTTAGTACTGACTTTAACCTCTATTAGTGCATTTTCTTGCTGTTTTCCAATGAACATCGGGAGTTAATTTAGAAAAACGCTACTGCTGTTAGTGGAGCGCGGTCCGCGACGAAGCTGTCAACCCTCGGAGAAACCGGCCATTATACTCCGCTGGCCGGCGTGCCGACGGTTCATTCGTGCTTCGGGCGGCCAGCGCGCGAGTTCGTCGTTGGGGGAGCAGCGAATAGTGAATCGAATGACTGGTGACAGGTATCGAACGATGTCGAGTGCGGTTTTGTTCCAACTTGAAACGAAAAACTTGATCACGTCTTCAGTGAACGGCAGAATTATCCGCAACGTGTATACTGTCGGTCTGTCTCATTTTTTGAAATGTGCTACTTCTGAATTGGTTTGCCGTTATTTTCTTCTCACCGTCGTCTCCGTAAGATCCGCAGTGTTTTTGGTCCATATCAGTGTGTGCTGTAAATGGGTAAATGGGACTGAAGTAGGAAGATCGGAAAGCGCTGACAAACTTTTTAGAAGAACAGATTGCAAGGTTATACGTGGAAGAGTGCTGCGTGTACAGGTATTGAAATACAAATGACGGTTGTATTTAGTCGGTGAAATATTGTATTCTAGAGCGAGATTTTCACTTCTGTGGAGATAATTTTTCTTCGATGAAAGTCGGGTGCTTTCAAAATGGACAGCAGCTTTCGTGTGTTATTTAAATTTATTTGTTCACTTTTTATATCAAAAAATTAAATTCGGTAAAAGCCTGCAACTTTATTCCGATTACATATGGCTCACCAGCGTTTTGGAGTTCAGTATTGTTCAATTTCTTGAAAATAAACATAGGATGTAAATCCGTGTGGTCATGAATGTTATATTCGGATTGACTCCACTGCGAGAGAACGTTTCAAGTGTTATATTTCGACCAGGTTCCTCGACTCTAGAAACTATGCCCTACGAGTAATCTCAAATCGGATGATCTATAATTAATCGTGACATAATATTCTAATCAATTGTACTGTAGTGTATAGTTAAATTTGGCACGTGATTGGCTTCGCTTATTTTTTCTTTTTTCCTTTTCAAAATCATGTTAAATTGAGTTGAAATTGGTAAACTCTTCTTCGCATCGAAATTCGCTCTTACCTCTCGTCCTCTACGTGTATTCCATTCATCAGCGATAATGACTCCGGATGCAGGTAATGGATTACTATCAGGGTTTTGGTTAATCCTCTGCGATAAGGACTCGAAAGACGCAATACCTTGGACTCGCTAAGATGCGGGCTGTTCCACGAACCCATCGTCCTATTGCGTTATGAATCACGTTCACAGGTTCTCGAACCATGTTCCGAGAAGATAATTGCGTTTTAAGAGCGACTCTTATAATTAATTCAGATCTTCGGGGTTCTCCTCGACTCATTGGAAAATTCAGCTTTCAATCAACACATGCAGAAAATAAATCAATTTCGAAATTAAAAGAAATGTATTTAACTGCAATGAAAAACACGCTGAAAGAAGATTTCGATTTTATATGGCCGAGAATGAAGATGAGGGACACATTTTTTACATTTTTGAAAGCACTCCATCAATAATCTTGTTCTCTTCCGTCTTGAATAAGGAATTTCAAATACTTTAAAATCTGTACACTACTTTTTTATAAAAGAAAAAATCGCTAAAAATGGATTACAGAACCTGAAATGCTAGGGAAAATTTGCCAGCTTTCCGATGCAAACTTACGAAGCGATTATCCGGATCATAGAGTACGGATAATCAAGTCATCTTCCGAATTCTTTTCGACATGTTTGAGAAAGAGGTACTACGTAATACACCTGCTAGAGACTATGAGCAGGAATACACTTTCCCAAAGCCTTAGAATATGGGCTAATTTCCGCAATTTCTCTAGCTTCAGGTTTCCGAATGATCTGTGGCACGAACACGAAGTAGATACGGAACTCTTCCTCTTTTTTTTTTGCTTCTTGAGCTTGAACAAAGTTCGTATTCTACGTGATACTCGTCCACCATTAGCCTACAGGACTGTATGTTTATTTTCGTTGTACAGTAGTTTAATTTATTTTTTCTTCAGCGAACGTGCGTCGAGTTCCGCGAAGAAAAAAAGAGTAGGAGCATTTATTTTCTGTTCGCCCATGTTCCCCCATGTCTGTGTTGCTGGGCTTGACCCGGAGATGCGTTCGCTCCAACAGCCGGGAAGTCCGCGCGAGGAGAAAAGCCTGGTGCAACCGTCGGCATTCCGTTGCGTGAGGCGGACGCGTGCGAACGTTGCGTGAATGAGAAAGACAGACTTTGGATTCGAGGAGTTGTTGAGGCATTACAGAGTTTAAGAAAAAAAAAACGCAGACTGGGTTCAGAAAGTACAGTATTCGCAGTGAATTCTCAGTGGTTATTGACATTGTGATGCGGCGGGATCTGGAGGTAATGTTCTCGTGCTTGGTAATTTTTTTTCCTTAGAAGTGTATTTGACGGACATCGTCGGAAAGGCTCTGTTTTGATTTTATGAATGAAATTAGTTTTGCTGGGTGCATTCAATACTACGATATGCAGTGTCTGCTTTTGGGCTGATCAACCTTGCATTGGTGGCTTTCGTACTGGACATTGCTTGTGGATTTTTGAATGGGTGCTTATATGTGAGTGTACAAAATATTACTCTATGTACACGACACGTCAGATAAGTGAAATCAGTTTATTTTTCAACAAGTTCATTATTTTTCATTCAAGCTCACGGACTTCATGCGTATTGATTTTAAATATTATACAACTATGCTGAAAATGCATATCCCTTTTCAATGGAACTAAAACTATGTCGGGCGATCAGGCGTTTTCATCGTCTGAAGATCCACAGGCGTGGAATCTGAACGCAGTTTAATAATTAATCAACGAAATGGCTTCTGGTACATTACAATTCAAACTTCGAAAATATACTGAGGATGGGATGGAAGGAAAATACTCTATCCCTGTTGCTTGAAGTCACGATGCAATCATACGGGATTTATCTTGGCGAGGGTTTTTTTTTTTTCGTCATCGTATTCTCACAACCTCATCATTCCGATCAGCTGAAAACTTGTATGAACCTCCCAATCTGTGTATCTTTCTTCGTCTGTTGATTTTATGGATTTCAGAAGTGCTATCGATAATCACGTGAAGAAAAGCCTGGAGATCACTTGTGTATCTGCATGTTGTAATAAACGAGCGCTTCCGATTACATCATGATTTCCGAAGAAAAATCCGTTTCGTTTTCTGACCAAGGTCCGGCAGTTTTTTTCAACCGTTAGAAATTCTAGCCGGGCTGTTTTTTTTTATTTTTCGAATGAGTCATTGTTGATTCACAAACGCTGTTTTCATTTGTTTGAGAGTCCATGAGTGGTGCAGTAGACATTTTTTTCGCGGAGAATTTGTTGAACAAAAAGCCCGGTGCTTCTCCGTCCGTCAATTGGGCATGCTCGGATGTGTTTTCGGTCTCGTGTTAATTATGCTGATTTAAATTTCTTTTCTCGGCCCCGTGACGAAAATCAGTTCGCACTTCGCGCGTTTCGTATTTCATCTCCAATTCGTAATCGCGTTGTGCGAGTTTTTGTTATTGCGTGAAATAGAAGTTCTGAAGTCAGAAAGCGTGTGATGTTCTGAAACTGTCCTCATGTCGTGAGAAACTGTTCTTGTTCATTATGAAACTCTGAAGTTGAACCTGTTTAGTAAAGTATATTTCAGAGGTTGAGAATGCATTGCGTGCAGTTCGTAAAATTTAAAAAAATAGGCCTCCGTTACTAAAATTCCTGCCATCAATCGATCATTTCGTGTTACTGTGGCCTTGTCCACGTGTGCACGTGAAGAATTTTATATCAGAAAGGAACCTTGGATCAGTGTAATACTATATGACATATTTTGAGATTTCAATTCGACTCTCCGTGACATTTATACAGAATAATGAAAACGCGTCATTGCGTGAGGGACAGTGGGAAAATCTTTCTTATGGATTGAAAATTTCTTACTACAGTACTGGATGACTTCTCGACCATCCTGCATTTTAAAGCCAATGTTCTGAATTCTGCGTGAACATTGATTTTAAATGGCCAAGTATGAAAATGAGGGGCAAAATTCTAGATTTTTCTGAAAAGATGAAGAGGTCCGAATTTGATCTTTATATTTATCGGTTTATGCATATATCGTAGAGCACATGGCCCCACATATTCCAAAATACTGTACATGCTACAAAATTCATTAAATAATCATATACAATACTTCTTCCGTCCTGTCTAATGAATTTCATGTAATGGAAAATGTGTGCAGTAATTTTAAAAATATCTAAAAGTTGCTGGAAGTCGCCTGCAGAACCTCAGATATGTACTGAGGTAATCTGCCAACACTGATGCGAAATGAAGAATAGATCATCGGGATTACGGAGTCCAGATGATCCGGATGAAGTGCGTTCGGGCAGGTTTTATAAAAATTGTTAATTGTAAACCAATTTATAATCGGAGGCACTTTTATACCATCTACCCTCTCTGATAAAAAATGTCGTTGTGAAAGAAAAAAACATGCATGAATTTTGATTTCTCGTCTGATGCTAAAATCTTTCGACGCCCTACATTTTCCCTGATCAGTAGAAAATTTAAGAAAATTCTTTCTATGCTTCCAATCCAAGTCGCGAGAAGTTTCCTTGTACGAGTGTCAAGTTTCTTCTCAGTGCCCCAGTGGGAATGAAACCCTGTACAGTACAGAACATTGCTGCGCGAATCCGAGTGTGAATGGCGAAGTTGTAAAAAGGCGATTGTCCGTTTACCTCGACGGCAGTGATTATCGTCCGTCCGAAGAATCTTGAACGCTGTTCGCGTGGCTGGTTATGTGGGATGTGTGCTAAGACCGCGGAATCGGTTTCCATCCAATCTTGACGACGAATGTCCTTATTCCTCACCTGGCTGACGCCGCAGGAAAAGCCACCACGCCATGTAGTCAGACGTTGTACGTGCTCGAGTCCCAACTCGCGAATATGATCATTATTATTTTTTCTTTTGGCAGTGGGTTATTCAGCTGTGAGTCAAGGGATCGTCAGATTTCAGAGTTATGGGAGGCCGAGGAGTCATCATTTTGCGCAGTTATCCTTGATTTCGTGCAGTGATGCCCTGCGCTGGGCCTGATGTTCAATATGCTGGGTGATTCACGCGTGACTACATTTCACAAAAATCATAAAAATTTTTTTGTTACGAGCATCTTATTGAGGGCAAAAGAAGGTGGACCAGTGTTGAATGAAAGGTTCACATTCTGGCGTCATTCAAACAACCGCAAATACCCAGTACTGTACACCTTTTTTGCTGGACTACCACGCGACTTTGAGTAAGGCGTGCACTTGAATATTCAAGCCTAAAATTTAGATGAAAATGTACAGCATCCCCGAGTAAGACGCAAACCCCAGTTTTAGAGACTGAAAATATAAACATTTTGAAAATAAATCGATGAGACATTACATTTTAACTTTAATTATACCTAATTTGAATGCTAATTTTCCATAATTTCCATTTTGAATTGAAATTTTTTCATTTAAAATTTCTTGTAAAAATCAAGTATGATGTACTCAAAGCTTTTTAAGTGTTATTTCTGTCTATAATGACATTCATCTTAAGTTCCCTCTTTTTTCCAACTTCCTCATATGTACAGTAATTCAATTCCATAATTGCGTGTGTCAGTCCACTGTTTCTAGAAATATTCACGTTACTTGAATGTAGCAGCGAGTGAATCCCCCACGTATCAACCTTAGACAAACCTCGGCTTTTCGTTTAAGGAAGGGGAACTTTTTTTGATGAGTATGTCTTGCGATTCGTGAGAACCTATGGGCCCAGGGCTAAATTGATCAGCGAACAAACCAGAGTTGATCATAGACAAGTCCGAGATGATGGAAATGCTCCTCATTTCAGGGAATAATTTACGGAACTCACACGTTGAAAGCTTTACTAGTTCATCGCAAAATTCCCAATTGAATTAATCATTTCAGTTACAGTACTTCAAACTGTGATCAACGTGGTCTAGCATCTGGCTTGTGTTCCATGTTGATATTTTTCATCAGCTTTTGCATTGGTACTTCAGTTGATTTCAAGGTGCGTTAATATCATGGGATGGATAGTCGTGAATTGGACAAGAACCCTGGGGTTTTCAACCTTTTTGAATATTGTCCCTCAAAAAGTATAGGAAGAAACCAAGGTTGACGTACTGATTGCATGTGATTCGCCCTAAGTGAGGCTCATGAATATAACGTCATTTCGCGTTTTCTAAAATGAATTGTTACCATCCGCTTCGCCTCAATTTTCGAGATTTTAATGGGAGCATCAAATGGGCGTTATTTTCTAGTGAAAGTGTAGATTCTTTCAGATGCTGCGAATGCGTAGTGGGGAAAGTGGAATACCGGTGTATTTCGAATGATGGATTATTCAAGAACTCAAGAAGCAAAGATGTGATTTTTTAATCATTGGCTTTTTCTGCAGTGAAATTATTCGTGCGCGGAACAGTGAAACTCAGTGTTTCTGGACTTGTGAAAGGAATACGTGTGGTGAAAAATAAAAATTACGAAGCAAACATGAAGTTTTTCATCGTTGCAGCTGTTGGGCTCATCCTTGCCGTTGCTGAAATCCGTGAGTATTGCTAGAATCATTATTTTAAGATAATCGTTTTTGAGCTTCTGTTGAACGGCGAACCCATTTTCCATTCAGTCTGTTGACTTGTTGTTTGAGCATACGTTGTACGTGTTAGTTTTAGCGTGTGAAACGCTGTGTTCAATTTGAAGCGAGGTTTCTTTTTGCTTTCAATGCAAGGAATGTATTCTTGGGCTTGGTGTGCTGATGAGTGGCGTCCATCCATAATGTTGCAAACTCGATTATTTGCCATTTATGCTCTTACCGCGGGAGAAACCTCGCAATTTACTTGGAAAAAAGTTCAGATATTGAAAAAATTCCGAATACAGTATTCCCATGCGTTTTTCTGAGTCAGTTCGACATCCTCAGGAATTTGAACTTTTAAAATATAGGACAAAAGCATTTTCTGATCTCGCTTCAAAGCTCCCGATATGGTTCAGTGTTATAATTTTTTTACTCTTTCTGTTGAGTACTGTATGTGTTTTGATGGAGGGATTTGAATTTAGTGATACAGTGTAATGATTGACGACTTCCCGGTCACCATTTCAAATTGTGCCCGACCAAATTGAAATTCTGTGCGGAGAAAAAACAGAGAGTCGGAAGCAAACCACACGAAGAACATTATCTTGACGTGAAGGACATTTTTTCAGCCTTTTAAGCGGTACTGAATATTTCACATAATTGAAGGGAAATCATATTGATCCAGATATTCCTTATCTGAAGATCTTTTTTTCGTGAACAATAAGTGGTTTCGTTGTGAGAAATCAAGTCAATTCAGAGTATGAATAATTATAGCAAATGCACAGAGTCGTTACGACTTCGGAGGATTCCAACCCGGAAATATAGTATTGTATGAGTAATTGAAGGTTATGTAATTTTCTTTAATCATACTTGTGAACTCTTTCGTGTATTTTGCATCGCGCCGAAATAATGTACGTTCTCGTGGCACCTTAAGCGAAATTTTCTTTTCCAGAGGCCGTTTGTAGCCTTGTAATACCCTCTAAATGCAACTTCAAGACAATCCCGATGGTATTCTGGAATATTTCACGAACCCATCCCGCTCGAAATTGCCATGCATCCCACGCATTATTGGCTATCCTAAATTATCTAGAGATTCTAGACGTTTTCCATTCGTTTCTTGACGTCAATGCACATTGAAGCGGAGCAGCGAGAATCTCTCGCAAAATACCCAAGGGATTTTTCTTGCGAAGTGTATCCCATAAGTCTATATTACCTTTTGTTAAAAAAAAACGTAACGTTTATAGAAAATAAATCCTCGCCCAATCGCTGGTGAAGTGTATGAGGGAAGTACAATATGTGGCAGTACCTTATTTTTTTCTTGGTGTCCGGAAAATGTTGATGGGTTGTGTGGGCTTCCGAGGATATCGCAAGGATCGAAAGAGCTTCGGTATTCGTGCGGCTATATTTGTCTCATCGATTTCCATCTATCCTTGTCTGGTTCGTGTTTGCTCGAGAAAATCGCCCCTTCCTTTTTTTTGCGTATTTCGAAGTCATGGAATTTCGGATGGGGCTTTCTTTTTGGCTCAGTACAGTATGTGAAAGACCCGTTCGATGTCTAGTGACGTCATTGTTGCCAGGTGCTTTAGCCTAGAGCTATTATCTTGCCAGAAAAGATCGATTCAGGCGATATTAGCAGCTGTCAATAATCGGTACTTGGGATCGATGCGTTCATTGCTCTTCCAAGAATCATTTCGTAGAGTGGCTTCTCTGTGCACTTGATACTTGCTCAGGTTTTTTCGGTAATATTCGCTTTAAAAAAGAAATGCCCTTTTTTATCGTGCCATGTTCTTGCTACACTACTAAGCCTTTGTAGATCTTGCAGAGTAAAGTATTTTATTTTATTGGGAGCTCTCTATCGGGCAGCCTTTTGCCCATGATTTGACATTGAAATACATTTTTCACACTCCGCATCGTTCACCAAAGATGTGCATCATTCGAATGTCCGTCTTTATAAATGTTCTCAGGTTTGGGACATTTTCGCCGATGATGTATTTTATTATTTGAAATACTGAACAGTCCTGTATTTGGTGAGATTTTTGCCCATAAATTTATGAATTCATACAATGTATTCAAAACCCCCGTTTCGCACAGCCATTGGGTGCTGACAATCGTCATCTTATCTTGCATTTAACTCTATAGGATCAGTCAGGAAATTATTAACACCATCATGCAACGCAACTTTTCACGAAAACTGGTGTAGAGAAATAAAGTGCTTTTTGTACTCGATGTTGCTTGGTTACTTCCGAAATACTGTACTCATCTTTCAAGAAACCGTCTGAAATGCATTATAGCAAATATTTGCCGAACATTTTAGTTTGCAAGCGCATGATTTAAAACCTAAATTTCTTTTAAAATGTTCGAGGTGATTGATCTTGTAGCGGAGTTGCGGGTATGAGCAAAATCTCTTCTCTAGCTCGGCAGCAATATACTGTAATATGAAAATATGGTATTGTCATAATTTAAATGATTGCATAAATCAAGCTACTGTACTGTTCATCCGCATGCGGCCCGTTTTCATTTTTTTCAGTAACCAACTTATGGTCGAGTCAATACGTCCATCACTGTCCATCGAAAAAAGGCTTTAGCGAGAAACTGAAAGCGCTTTACGGAATTAAATTTATGAATCAACCCTCTTGAGCCTAATCGCCTTTTGAACGTGCTAGGCGTGAGTACCGAGTTAGCGATTCGTGCGGTACCTGGTGCTAGTACTATCATTTCCACACTTTTTTAATATACTGTATATATACTCCGAGAAAGTCTAGGCACTTGAAGCAATAATTAATTGTGTTGTTTGTAAATTTCTTCATTTTTTTCTTGTTTCACCAGACTGCAAAAGCGTTTCGAGTGAACCGGGTTGCGAGACAGAGGTGTTGTTGGATTGCACCAAGCGTCTCGACTACCTCAATTCCGACAAAGCGCTGGAACTCGGAGCTTCGCAGCAGGACCTGGAAAACGTCTGCCCGTGAGTTCCATTGTTTCCTAACGATTTCCCTCCGTGTTGCGACGTGGGGTAGTCCGTAAATTTCGTACAAGTGGTACCTCGAAATTCGACCCTAATCCGTTGCCGAACTAGGGTCGAATTGCGAGACACTTCGTGAAATTTTAAAAATATCAGTAGAAAAACGCGAAAAAAAGTGGCCAAAGCAGGTCGAATTGCGGGACAAGGATCCAATTGCGAGTCTACCTCCCTGCAAATTTGACCGTCGAATTGCGAGGTACCAACTGTATTACGAAAATCGACACGATTTTCGTTAGCGGTTAATGAAGAAAAGTGAGGGAGTAAATTCAGTTCCCTGAGAAAAATGGAATGTTCCTTTCGCTTTGGTTCCTCTTTACTGAACTGTACTGAGTTAGGCTGCACAGTATTGCGTAATTTTATTTTTCGAATAATGAAAGATTTCGAAGTTCCTCGATGTTGAATTGCGTTTGGAAGCAGAGGGGCCAGATGTTGTATTTTAGGAAGTGGGATTCGTTTTGGGCTTGGTTTGGTTGATGACCTATGATGCAAGAAACGTTTTGTTCGCTCCTACGCGTGGTTTCTTCTTTCTTTCTTTCTTTCTATTTTTGTTGTTGCTTTTCTTCTTGGTGGAAGAGGCCGTGAAGTGAAGGTTTTTGGGGTTCCAAGATTAACTGACGGCTGGCATTTTGGGCCGAAGCCGATGTCAGTTCTATCGAAAGATGGCCTTTTTTATGGCCTTTTCAAAATACTTACGTGTGCGTTTACCAAAATGAGTTCGAATACTCTGAGAAGGGTTCATGACTCATGTTTGGTTTTGTGATGTTCATTTCTAGAACCAAGTTTTCCTTCTTTGTCGCTGTGGAAATGATAAGATAAGCTCGGTGGTGGATGGAGTGTTTTGTAATTTCAAAGAAAGTTGATATCGTTTTCTGTGTTCCGAGAAACTGTAGTGTCTGTTTTCTTTTAATCGTAAAGATAAACGTTAATGTTAATCTCTCAGTTAATTTACAATTCAATATAATGTGTTATTAATGGTCCTTTTTCAGTTTCATTTTACGCCACACGCGTCGGAGTTCATGCATACGTTCGAAGTATTATTCCTTATTTTTTTGAACAGAAGACGAATTTTTTCCTTTCAAAAACTAATGAGAATCCTATAATGTATAAAAGCATGTCATTGTTTCATGAGCATGAGGTTTTTTAAAATCTTGATTTAACGAATTTTTCTTTGAAAATTTCAAGTGTTTTAACGAGGATCTCCTGTGATAGGCGAGTCTTTTGTGCCTTACATATGAATTAATAGTAGACGTAGCGATTTTTAAGTTCTGCCAATTGGATCGAGTGATCATAGCTCAACTTTTGTATTTTACATTTCTTTTAAAGAACACTTCAAGACGGCATGCAATGCATCAACGACTACAGCAATCGCTGTTTGCCAGAAAATATTCAGGCTTACTTCCAGTCGATGTATAACGGCACGATGTTGGTGATCACGGAGCTTTGCAGGCCTGGCGATTTCCAGAGTGGTGAGTAATTTTCTCTCATTTCATGTGTCTCGCAAATATATTAATGGTAAATTTTGTGTCCGGATTTCAATAGGAAATGTCTCGAATTGAAAATTAAATTGAACGGAACGGTTGCTGCGTTTTCCAAAGGATTTTGTTAAAGATAAATGTTGATTTTATTGTTTCTGCAATCACATCAAATGTTTGTTTTTATGCACATCGCGCTCACGGAGTGAAATTCAATTTGATGCAAATGTACATTGCTCCGCTTTTATGCAAACTCGTATTTCCGGTTGCAGAAAGCGGTATTCCTGGCGGTTATCCAAAACAAAAAGGGAATCACTCGTAAAATTGACCAGAAGAAAAAGCGTTTCATTTTGTTGGTTGCATAATTCTAGAAAAAAAAAAAGCTTGTGACTCGAAGATACTGAGTCTCATGGTTCAGAAAAGCTCTATAAGGCGCGATGTATTCCGCAAAAAGATAAGAAACTCGATGTTTCCTGTCTGATCTTGGGAGTGCTGGATGCATTTTTGATTTCATTTGTGATTTGATATTCCGTCATGGTACGCCTATGTTGTACATCTGCTTATCGAGGGGAAGAAATTCATAATTTGTTCATGTCTCATACATATTCCGTATCTCAAAATATTGTTATCCTTCCGTTGAGTGAATGCGACTCAGAAGCGTTCCGACGCTAATGAGAAACGCTGCGACTATTATTAGCGAATGCTCATCGAATGCCTAATGAATGAATCGAGTGACGGAGATCGTCACTCGAACAAATGGACTTCTAACTGATCCGGAATGCTATTGCACTTCTCATTGCACATTGATATAAAAATAACACCGACTTTAATACTTTAAAGAAACCACGTGGAAACTATTCATTCGGTTCAATTTATTTCAAATGCTCATTCGTGACAATTCCTTTTTTTTTACCTAAAATTTGGGCATAACTCGAAAGATAACTTAGCGAGCTACGCCTTCGTATAACCGTGGAGGAAATTCTGTAGTTCCGACACTTGCCTTGTTATTTTGTTCACCCTGCATAAATATTATCGTCCTTCGACGCTCGTTTTTTTTTGAACTAAAAGTTTTCGCTGATATATACTGTACTGTATTATTTCGTTGCATTTCCTTGGCGTTTTGCCAGCCGAGTATTGAATGACTGGCTGCGAACGGTTCACCTTCCTTCGACGTACGTAGCCGTCAAAATTTTCTACGTAATGTTTAACCCGTTTCGTGGAACGGGTAACACTCAAGGTTTCCGAATTATTTTTCATCCTTCCTCAAACAATCCTTGGAACAAGCAGCTCGTTTTCCTCGCCTCCGGCTTGTTCACGAGCAAGCGAGAATAAATTCTCCTCTCCTGTGTTTCCTGTGACTTCCTAGTTATTTGTCTTAGCATTTCATTCTTTTCTTCTGGTGAGTTGGGTTTTGACTTGAAGAATTTTTTTTTTACCACGATTCGTCAACTCCCTGGTTCAATTTTAAAATGTAAGAACTCCCTACCACGTTTGTGAATTATCATTCATGTATGCGAAGCTGCGAGTTGCAGTGGCTTGGTTTCATTTTCACATAATTTTTTGTTGAATCATATGAATAAGTTGCTTACATTGACCTTCCGGGCTGTGTTATATGTGGTGGAACTTAGGGGACAAAAGAAGCCCTTTCCCGGTGTGAAGCTGAAAAGACCTCCCCCCCCCCGGACATGTATGGAGCTTTCTTCTCCTTTGTGTCCCATCCAGCTACTTCAGGAACAGACTACAGTAAGTACTGTATAGTAAAATGGGCAGAGATCCAAGAGGACGAGGTTCGGTACTAAGTTTCATAGATTGTTCGCTTTCATTGTCGTAGTCCGGCTCGGTGGATGAAGAGATCTCCAATTTTCACAGAGCAAAACTTGATCCTTTCCTGACCACAATTTGTTGTTCAATTAGGTTGAAATGAAGAGGAACCAGAGCGTTTAATTTGCTCCTTTGGAAGACAAATGAATAATCATGACGGTTATCTTGACTAGCGTGATGAGTTCGCTGTGCTACCAAATATTTCTTAAAATGCTTGAAGCTGATTTTCAGGTTTTATTGAGGGAAATAGTTTAAATTCTGACAATTTTGTGAGTAGAAACGCCGAATGTGAAGGGTTGTCCTTGAAGGGATTCTTACCAAACGCATTTAGACTTGTCTCAAGTCTTGCTATTGATTCTGCTGTGGTCGGGATGATTCCGACTCGGGAATGAGGGAACCCAGAGAATTTCATTACCAGGTTCTTACGAAACTTCTGAGCAATACTTCGTAGCTTCCACTTTTTTTTCAGTGCAGGAAATATTGGGTAAATTTCCAGTACCACCAACGCTTGCGTGTTTTCCTGAAAGCCGGATAATCGTTGAAGCTTTTTACATGACTTGCAGTCTGTTTTTTTTAGGGGGATTTCCTTCCGAACGGAAATAGCCATTTCCGTCCGGGTTATTACCTGGGGTGTCCGGTGAGAACAAGGATGTGTCTCCCCCTCGATGAAAAACAAAAAGATAAGAAAAGATCATTCAGACTTGGTGTGGAGGTGGGCGGTGGTGTGCACTCGACCAGCCGTGGAAAACGGAGTCGAGGAGGTGGATTGCCTCAGCAGTAACGCATCCTGTGATCCGAGAACCGTCGCTGTTCCCATGGCCATCCCCGTCGTTGCTCATGTCCCAGCCCTGAGGGGGGGATGTTGAGATGTGCAGGGGAAAAAAAGGAGAGTCTCTCAGCAACAGCAGGAGTTGCGCAGTATTTTTGAACTGAGAAAATACAAAAAATAGAAACTTTTTTCGTTGCGAACAGCGCATCTGAGGAAGGTTTATGATGTCATAATCTTCTCTGTTGGCGAATGGCAAGAGGAGATCCGTTTTTTTCCCCCCGAAGCAACCAGGGTTACCATACAATTTCTTTCCTGTTTACTGTCGTTCAGTTTATTGCTCTTGACATGAACTGCAACTCGAATATGGTCAGGGAATCGTTTTAAAATTCCACTGGCGCCAAGCAGCATCTTACGCTCTGTTCCAGAACTTCACGTGGTTTTTTGCAACCAATTTCTTTTCCTCGCAACAAAACATTTCTAACGTGAAAGAAAATCCGCAGTTACCAAAGGATGATTTTTTTCGTGCAGTGCAGTTGGTTATCTCCTGAATGAATGAATGAATGATGCCGCGAATACGAAACGAATGAGCTGAATGCGTGTCAAATTATAAATTTCCTTCGGTAATTCGCATTCGAGGGGTCGGATGTGCCAAGGTGATCCTGGGGGGTCTCTCAATCCGTGCAACCGTTCCGAGAGATTTTAGTTTACAGCCATGACCTGTGCACAATTACCGACTTATTTTCGGTAATAGCCAACGGTTTTATGTCCGTTCGTGGCATGTGTACTGTCCACACACACACACACAGCTTACATAAGCTTGAGAAGGCAGGCAGAGGTGCAAACATGGTTTTGTGAAGTCACCCCATTCGGGAGGGATTATAGCGGATCAGTTTCCCCATCACGATGATGCCTGGGCCAGGGGGATGAGAACAGAAGCCCCGACTCACCAGCAAGTATAACACCAGAGTGGGGAGGTTTCAGCAGGGTGCAAAGCCCGATTGGGATGCAAATTTGAACAGGCCCTCGTGTGTCGCTTCCCTGATCCTGTTTGTGAACGGACGGGGGCTGTACCTCTAGTAAAATAGTTTGAAATATTTATGTAGAAAATTCGGTGGAAAAAACGCAGAAAGTGCTGCAGGGATATATGGTGTGAGCGCATGAATCCTACGGGTATTGTTTTCACTTCTCTGTAGGCGTAAAATGTTTTAACCTTTTTTTTTTCATTAGCGGATTAATGTCGTCAATTTAAGTTATACAGTAATAACTTTTCACAATGTCGGTCTGAGAGAGCAGTCCATTTTTTCCTTGGAAATCGTAAAAAGTATGCAGTATTAGATAAATCTTACTAATGAATGACTCAACTTTTAGAGTCTCCGGATTTTTTTTTTCCTGCGGAATTGCAAGAGTTCAGCAGGGTCCGACTTCTTCGTTCGAAATTGAGCTCGTTTGACGGTCAATTTTAGTTTGATGCGCAAATAAAACCAAGGCTCAGTACTTGAACTTCCAAGTGCGCTAGCGGGATTTATTGTTCAAGTGCTTGTTTAAATCATTTGTTGATTCCGTGATTCACTTTTCGCTTTACAAATTTTAGTTTGATGCGCAAATAAAACCAAGGCTCAGTACTTGAACTTCCAAGTGCGCTAGCGGGATTTATTGTTCAAGTGCTTGTTTAAATCATTTGTTGATTCCGTGATTCACTTTTCGCTTTACGTGGCTTAGTTGCAACGCACGCAGCTGCTGCACAACGGGGATCTCGCTTCTCACGTAGCAGAACTGCATGTCGTGACGATCAAGTTTGCATGCCGTTAGTGGCTTGAATCTGTTTTAAATATTTGAACACGTTTTCATTTTTCCTCCCAACTTCAAAACGGAAGCAAATGTTTTAATGAACGAGATTCCTGACGTTTTACAATCTAGTCGATCTTCCTTTCGAATTTATTCGATTTTAGGCACCGTGTCTTTTCATCATCATCGTTTCATGTGTGCATTGCATTTATTTTTGTAATTCCCGGGCGACTTCCGTTTTCAGGTAGAATTTTTTCCAAGAAACTATTTGGAAATTTGTCTCCAATTTTTTGTTCTTTAACGGAATGCATGACTTAATTTAACCTCCGTTGATGTGGCCTTGAACAGATAAAAACATTTAAACGGCAAAAAAGAGGCAAAAACAAATACCGTTGGAGTTTTCTGGTTTCGTATTTTTTTAACGATGCAGTTAATTGTTCCGCTGCATATTTGCAGAATTCAGCGTGTACGAACTTTGTTTTGCTTCTACTGTAATAAGAGCGCGAGAATAAGAACGGTATTTAAAAAAACACCTGAGGCGATAATTCTAATTTATGGGAACACATTTATCAATATCCAATTTTCTTTTAAATGTTTAAATAAATTATCCTTGAACTCGGCGAATTT